ATTTACTATAACTAAACATACCTAATTCTACATGTTTTACTTGTATATCAGAAAGTGACTTGACACTATGGTACAAACATTGTCTTAATAAAATAATAATTTTATCCCCTGTGCCTAAATATTTGTAATGTGTTTTAATTTCTCTTTTTCACAAGTTTCCCGATAATGTATATCAATCAAAGCAAAGCAAGTTGTACCTTTTGGAATCATGTTATAATATCGATAGTACTAATCTTATCGTAATTCATCCTTATTGGTCTATTTAGTTTTGAGTTTTGTCAATGTAATGGTAGTTAGATCGAACAAAATTATTATTATTTTTTTTTTCTAATGATTAAATGATATTTAAAGGTTTAAATTTGGGCTTAAACTAGTTGTTGGTACCTACAAACCGAAAAGTCCAACGTTAATTCAGCCATAATTAAGTGATAAAATGAGATAAATTAAAGAAAATAAATCCAAAATCACGATCTTGCCTCATACATACATTACACCGCGCCTTTTCCCCCACTCCCCAACAAAGAAAAAATTGAAACAATTAAAATAAATAGTAATGCTAGGTAGCTAACTGTTGGCTCCTTAACGGGGCCAACAGCCAATGAGACAGTTCCATGTGAGACTGTCCTACATTAAAGTCATGTGGGACAGCCCCACATGGAGCTGTATAATTGGTTGTTGGGTCTGTAACGGAGCCAACAGTTAGTTCCTTAGCATTACTGTTAAAATAAAATCAAATAAAAAAGTGACGAAAAAGTCAAAAAAAAGAAGAGGAATAATAAATACTAGAATAAAAATTAGCTAAATTATTAAGATTCTTTTCCAAGGAAACCTTGTCGTGTATATATATGCAAAAATTGTCTTTTTCCGTGCTTTTTGGTAGTACAAGTTTTAGAATATATTCTTACTGCCCGAGTCTCGTAAATATCATACCTACACCCCCATACACATGAAAGTTTGTGAATGTTTTTTTTGGATTAATGATTTCAAGACTAGTAAAATAAATAATCGGGAGATTCCACCGTTCCGTTACAGAATTATTATGTCGGGTTTGTAACCGTTAAATCAATTATCCACGATAGTTTTATGATGATCTAACGGTTACAAATTCCGACGAAATGATTCCGTAACGAAACTGTAGCATTTCCTTAAATAATCAGATGTTTGTGACAATATTTTTGCATGCGTAAGTTGGTATAGTTTCTAAATTTTATTATTTTAACTATGTCGGGTTAATTCGTTTCAAATCACTAATGTTCTTTAATATAATTATTATGTTTTATACTACGTGCAAAGTGCACATGAAGTACTAATTATGTTGATTATAATGGTTATGGGTATAAAACATAACATTCTCTTAGACTCGTACGTACGATCAAAATTTTAAATATTTCTACATATGCCGAGATATCATACTATTGTGAGATCTGCTTTTTTCATTTTTTGCCCCCATTTTTTGGGGTTTGGACAAGTACCTTATATTGTCTACTAATTTAGACATGGCAGTGCGGCCCGCCGACCCGGCTTCCGTTGACCATGGGTCGAGGACCAGACCGAATTTTCGACAGGCTATTTCAGGATCATTCATTTCTTGACCCTGGCTCGGCAGGTCGTGTCAGTGGCCCTTTTTTTTTCAAAATTTTAATAATATTCTATATTTTTTCTAAACAATGACTGCCCGGCCCAGTTGACTGGGCAATTGACCCGATACGAGCATAGGTCTGTGTCGGCTCCGGGTCCTTGTTTTTTAGCCCGAAGGCCCGCCGGGCAGGGCCGTGATCCGGCCCGTGTTTTGGCTATGTCTATACTAAATCTTGTCATTTTGTTATTTATCTATTAATTGCAATTTGATTTGAAGCGAAAGGGAAAAAAAAGTTTTTTGGTCCTTTATCTGCAGGCCGTTTTCAATTTGGTACCGTAAATGGACCGCTTTTGGAAATAGTCCCTTAAGTAAAAAAAAATTAGTTTTTTGGTCCTCCGACCGCCTACGTGGAAATAGTCAGATTTACTGGCTGCCTACGTGGAAATTCGCTCGAATTTTTTTTTTTTTTTTTT